CTCCTGGGATTTATTTTAGTACGTCTAACTGCTGTGTTTATACTGTTACTTATTGATTAATCAAACATTTGTTGGCATTCTGCCATTCAGAATTAAGCTTTCCCTCCTGTGCCACCTGCACAATCTTCATTGCTGTATATCTTGCTGCAGCCTACCCAGAAGAGTCTTGTTCTTTGCCCCCTTGCTCCCATCTTCCCACGTGGCTTAACACTATTTTGTGTTGGCTAGAGAGTTCATTTATGTTCTTTGTGTCTATCATTATCTTCTGGTTCAGGCACTGTACTGTGATCACATTTTCTTATCCAAAGTTTATTTCTCCTTAAGTTAGAATTGTTTCACTTAGCATTTAATTATCATTATGAGTTTTTTTTTTCAAAGTATTCCACAAATCTATCTAATGATGCATCTGCTAACATATTCAAACTTCAGGAGCATCGGTAAAGTTTGAAGTTCTATGGTTTTTCAAGTCAGCTGTTTTAATTTATATCGTCAAGCTCTAATCTAGGACCACTGCAGAGCTACCAATAAGGGGGTGTCATTTATATTTCCTCCATGCCATTTCTCTTGCTGTTTTGTATTCGACACAATACTTTTCATGCTCAGTTTTATTACTTTTCTAACAAAAGATTCATGGAAAATATGTATTTTTAGTCCTCAAGACTGGAAAATATTTCTCTTCTTTCACATGGGTTTGTAGTTTGGCTGTCTATAAAATTCTCCTTAGGAAATTATTTTCTGTAAGTATTTTGAGATTTAAAAACCTTTTTTAAAAGATGTATTTGATCTTCCTCTCTGTCTCTCCTCTCTGTATATCCGCCTTTCCAATGAAAAAAATAATAAAAATAAATCTTTAAAAGATGTATTTGTTTTGAAAAAGTTGCTGAGGAAGGGAGAGAACCAGAGAGACACCTTCTATCCACTGATTCACTCCAGAGGTGGCTGTGCCACCTAGTGCCAAGCCAGGCTGATGCCAAGAACCAGGGATTTCATGGATATCTCATGCAGGTGGCAGTCTCCAAACACTCGAGTCCTCTTGCACTGCTTTCCTCATGTCAGGAGAAGGAACTGGGTCAGAAGTGGAGTACCTAGGACGCCAACTGGAAAAGTCATCTCAGCTGGAACCTTTGCCGGCTATGCCACAACACCAGCCCAACAGTTTTGAAACTCCTCAGCCTTCCGGTTTTCACATTGCTTTTCTCTGCTTGCTTTCTGTCTTCCAGACAGAAAGTAATTCTGCTGTCCTCCAACAGTTTCACTGAGCTTTCTTCTTTGTAGTTATTCCATTCTGTTTTTTTTTTTTCCTGGACTGTAATTTTCATGGGATTTTGTATGGCTAAGTGGTAAACTCACATGGCCAGTTCAGTATTATTTACCCAAACATCTTTATGCCCATGCATTTTAAGCACATCAATGGACAGACAATTCCTAACTTATTACAGTTCGACTTAGGATTTTTCTTAATGATGCAAAAGGTAAATATATTCAAGAAATTATACTCTGAATTTTGGCTTGTGTTTTTAGCTTGGGCTGTAATGCTGAGCAGTGGTAGTGAAGTTCAGCTGCCCATCAATCAAACATGTGCTAAGCTAAACAACTGATATCCTTCAACATGCTGTGTTGCTCAGCTATGGAATTATGTAAGTCAAATGCACTGAATGAGTTTTTGACATAGAATATTTTTAATTTACAATGAACTTATCAAAGTGTAAACCCACTGTAAATCAAGGCCCCTCTTCATTATACACTATTACTTTCAGAGCCCTAAGAGTAAATAGTCTATTCCTATTTGATGAAAAGATAGCTGAGTTTCCAGGAATATTAGTAGTTTTCTGAAGTTTAAAAAACCAGAGTGAGGAGCTGGCACCATGGCATAGTAAAATAAGTTTTAACCTGCAGTGTTAGCATATCATATGGACACCACTTCTAATCCAGTTCTCTGATTATGACCTGTCAAATAGTGAAGAATGGCCCACATCCTTGGGTCCCTGCATCCATGTGGGAGACCTAGAGGAGGCTTCTGGCTCCTGGCTTTGGATCTGTCCAGCTCCAACTTTTGCAGCCATTTGGGAAAGGAAGATTTCCGTCTCTCCTGCTATGTAACTCTGCCTTTCTTATAAAAATAAATCTTTTTTTTTTTGAAGCCAGGATGATTAAGATTCAAATGATGATAAATGATTTCAAATTGGTATTCAGGCATAAGGGTCACATGAAAATGGAGGTCACTAACAATTAAACAACTCCGGCCATGACTCCTTCATATCTTGCAATAATGTACTAATTCCACTGCTGTGCTTTGAGTCATGTCTTTGGACTACACTTTGAGCCACTGAATGCAAGCTTTCCTCTTCAATCACTCTTCTCATTCCACAATAAAAATTGGAACATCTAAAACCAAATAATTGATGGTGATCTGAGTCATAGAAAATGATGTGTACAAAAACCAACAAGAAAAAGAGAAATCATGGTGTTTGGCTCTAAATGGAAGTAGACATTAATATATAATGATGTGATTGTAGAGTCCAACACACAAATAAATAACTTTCTTTGAAGCTCTAACTTGCCTTCCTAGGACACAAATAACATCTAATTTAAAAAATAATAATAAAATAAAAGTCATTGCTTTCCAAGTTTAGTCTTTGGAAAGCATAATAGTCCCTCAGTTAAGTGGTTATTATCAGACACACACAGGTCCTTTCAAGCTAGTTCTTACGAGCAAGTATGCACTGACAATTCATGTTGTGTTTATGTGTCTCTTCAACTTCTGCCTGTGGTTCTAAGAGCAGACCCGCTTTCTGTTCAATGATACCTTCCAAAGGGAGTTTTCAGGTTTCACCTCCCAATGGCTTTTAGTTCTTTGGTCTACCCACTGTTACTAGTGAAACACCAGGTCATTATGCTCCCTTTTTCTAAAACACAGTGAACTCATCTCACCTTAAACTTCATATAGGTAAACAATTCAAATCAAGGTTGATATTTTGCATCAAGCAGTGAAAGTAGGCAGGACCTCCTTTGGTGTGGAGCAAATTACTCCTCCACTTGGATGCTCAGGTTTCTTAGCCCTAAAATGAAATAACATAGGAGGATTTTCATAGGCCCATCATCTCTTAAATAATACTACATTTTAGTGGATAAACATCAATGAATTATCTCAAATTAGGCACCATTGTTTCTGCACACTGTGAAAACCCTGTTCATTAATTTATTGGGCATAAGTGTATTGGGCATGATGCTCAGAGATAGAGATGCAATTCTGTTGAATAGACATAGTACTTCAGCGCATTCCACTCACAAGAAAAACAAATTCTCAAATAGTAATCATGATAAATGTTATGAACGATAGCCAGAGACTGCTGTACTTGAAAAAAAAAAAGGTGACAATTTAGACAGGAAAGGTTAAATGATTTCAAGAACACTTCACTAAGAAATGACAAGCTATCTAAAGGATGATGGGTTGCTAGCCAAGTGAGGAGCGATTTAAAAAAAAAAAGATGGAGTATATCAGGCATGCAAAGAAAACTGCGTAGACTCCAAGGAATTAAAGAGCTCATGAACACAATAAACTAAAAAGAAGCCATACAACTGATGTGTAATGAACAAGAGAGAATGAATGAAGCTAGACTTAGCCAGGCTCCCACCAAATCATCCAGAGCCTAAGCATGCTGATGAAAGACAGGGAGAGATTGATGAAAGATGTTTAACTGAGAGAGATAGATGATCCCATCATTTTTTCAGATTACTCCAGCCAGTCTCATGCATGTTCCCTTGGTAAACAGCAAACAGATGAAGAGATGAGGGTGGGTGAAGAGGCAGCCATCAATGGAGGTGGATTGGGTTTTACACATCACCCTGAGATAGCCTCATGTCATGTCTTCACTCAGCTATGATGTACAGTTGAGTGCCTACCCATATCTCTTCAATAGGCTAGCAAGACCATTGGTCACTCATATCTCACACCACTAGGCTTTCCCAAATCCCAGTTACACATTCTCCAAGAGACTCCAGGGAGCATAGGCCAGGTTTAAAAATAATTTCTTTGAAGATCCTCTTAGCCTAAGGAATCAACAAAGTACCCTCAGCCTTCTCACCAGGTTGAGATCTGTGGCATCTCAACAACTCTACAAAGAATCCCTGACTCCAGTATCCCATCGCTCTGCCTCTTTGCTGGCATATTTGAGGTCTGTTGACCATCTAAGAATGGTAAAATCCAGTGTGACACCTCCTTTTGTGGTCTGCGTAGCAGGGTTGAGGGGCTGTCACCTCACTTTAATTTGGCAGAAAAGATGGCAACTCTTGTCCTAGATTATGTGAACCCCATCCCCTCAAGCCATCCTCAGAAATAGTGAGTGCAGATGCCTCCCACCACTACTATCTTCCTAAAGCTCCTACACCTCACCCACTTCTCTGGCCTTCAGTGCTTCACCACCAGAGCCACTGACCTTGAGGCTGTTGTGCCAGGATGGCGCCCCATCCCAAGAAGCTAAGTGACTACCCCCATGGATTTCACCGACACAGAACTCCTCTTCCATTTACCCTGTCACCCAAACTCTCCTTCGGTAGTATCTCCTTCATCATCATTGTCCTGAGAGTTTGTGTAACAATTCAGACCCTACGATAGGAAGATGGATGAAATGGGTGAAATGCTAGTGCTTGCCCTACCCAATAATGACAAAGAGAAACTGCAAAAATAGATGACCTACATAAAGCATAAAGAAAATGGGAGGTGCCTACTTGACTCAAGGGAAAAAGTAGTGGGGGGGAGGGGTTGATATTTTTTGGAGCAGTTAATAGGAAAGAAATAGGGAGAAACCACAGCTGAATTCTTAAATTAAAAATGGAGAAGGAATACACACACACACACACACAATCCGTTTTGAAAGCATCATGCAAAAGTGAAAAAGAATTCGCTGACTACGGCAGTGAACACTTTTTCAGAGATTTCAGTCCAGTCACAAGGAAGGGGCAGCCTGTACCTTAACTCAAGTGTGCCATGTCCCCAACAGGAACCAATGCTAAGCATGGACTACGCTGCAAAGCCTGTAAGATGAGCATCCACCACAAGTGCATGGATGGCCTGGTACCCCAGCGGTGCATGGGCAAGCTGGTAAGGAGTGACCCCTGGAACTGACTGCCCAGACATTGTACCTCCTAATGAGCTCGCTCCCTCCAAACTCCTTCCCTGCATCCTTAAGTAAAAGATATGATAGAATCCCTGGCATGCCAAATTAGTTTTTCTTTGGTTTCTGTTTATTTGTTCAAAAACCAGAGAGGTATCATCAACGGCTGGTTCACTCCCCCAGATGTCCAAACAGCCATGCTGGTCTAGCCTGAAACCAAGAGCTAGGAGCTCAGGCAGGTCTCCTGCATGGGTGGCAGAGACTCAAGTACTAGGACTCATCTTCTAACTTTCAGATTGTGCTCAAGCAGGAAGCTCAACTTAGCAGCAGAGCCAGAATCCAAACCCAGGCACTGCTTTATGGGTGCAGATAGCCCAAGAGGCATTCTATTACTGCACAAAATGTGCACTCCCCACTTGGCTTCTTAATTGGCATAATGACGAAAACAGGGGGAGATTCACCAACTTAACAAATGCCTCACATGGATTTACAGCCTTGTAAAATGACCAGCTTCTTTCAGGTTTGGACTTACACTTTTACCATTGAAAGTACTACATTCTGGGATGGTCGAGTAGCCCAGGAAACACCTCTCTACCAGCCCCAGGTACACCACAGTGACAGACCTCCCTGCTCATCCAGTGGCCATCACCTTGGTGGATGTCAAGAATGAATTCCCCAAAATGCTGAGAGAGACAAAATTCTACACCAATTAAACAGAATCAAGTTGGCCAAACAAAGGGATGGTGGGTGATCTTGGCCCATTCTGAGCCAGCACTGCCACTTCCATCCTGGTGCCACACATGGATAAATAGCTCATTTGATATTTGAAGCTAGGATAGCAGAAGTTATAGAAAGGATCAAGAGTGACTCCACACAAAGGTACTTAAAACTGACATAACAACTGTCTTAAGAATCTAGAACTTATATTATAGATGAGGAATTCTGTTGTACCTTGTGACTCAAATGTAAAGACGTAGCATTAGTGCGTACCAACTCTTAAAAATAAGGGATACCATTACCAAGACCAGCCCCTAGCAGGGTGAGGAGGGCTCCTGCCCCTGTTCGCACTGGGCATGGAGGACACTATTTTCCTGGAATGTTGACTAGTATTCTGGAATGTTGGTAGGAACTGGGTAACTTAGCACTTATCCAACGTTGGCTACAGTAATCCCAGGTTCATAGAGAATTCTTTCACCTATTTTGATTAGCAATGTTCTTTTCTCCTAAACCCCTGACCAACCTCTTCCCATTCTCCTTCCCAAAAGGAAAATCCCCACAGTCATGCACAGATGGTAGATAATAGATCCAAAAACAGAGAACAGAGTCAGAACTCAAAGCCAATGACTCTGAACAAAGCTCTTAAGAAAGCCAGAAGCCCACAGGCACAACTCTAAGAACTGTTGTCCCATACCCAGGCCATTTATGATTCTAATAAGTCACACAAAGGAGCTATGGGGTGAAATAATGTCTGGAAGTTCATTTGTATACTGCCACACAGGAAGGATGCTACACACACAAGGAATCCTCTCCTGCAGGAGGAGACACAGGCTAGGGAAGGCAGGGCGAAGGCTTGCTTTCTGGAGGAAACATTAAATTGACTACAGTCATCTACAATTCCTTCTCCCAACTTTTAGCCAGTGATAAGTGATAGAATGAAAAAGACATGTCACTCCTGGGAGAGATGAACTGGTTCTCTTTGTGATTCTTTTTTTTTTAAGTTTATTTATTTTTACTTGAAAGGTGGAGAAGAGAAAGAGAGAGAGATCTATCATCTAATTCACTTCCTAAGTATTCACAACAGCCTGGTATGGGTCAGGTTGAAGCCAGGAGTTTCTTCTAGATCACTTACATGAGAGGCAGAGGCCCAAGTACTTGTGTCAACATTTGCTGCCTCCAAGGATGTGCATTGGCAGGAAGCTGGCAGAGTGGAGATGGTCCTCAGTCATGGGATGTGGGTATCCCTAATCTGCTGCATCACAATACCCACTCCTCAATTTGCTTGAGTTTTAGCGTTTTCATGTGTTTTTTTTTTTCTGTATTTTTTCTGGTAACATTAAGCCCTTTCCTTTCTCGTTCCCTCTAGCCAAAGGGATTTCGGCGTTACTACAGCTCCCCATTGCTCATCCAAGAGCAGTTTGGATGCATTAAAGAAGTTATGCCCATTGGTGAGTTGGGACATTTATGGCTGAAGAATTTGAGGCAGTGAAGCCAACATCAATGGCTGCTGTCCTCCCAGGGCACCTGGGTTTGGTAAGACCTGGAAGTATCCTCCCCTGGATGAAGACAATAAAAGTTTCAAGTCCCCACAGGTGCTGCCCTGCTCTCCCAGCCATCAGCAGCACCAAGCAGTAGAAAGAACATGGAGCCCAGCAAGCTATAATGTCACGTCAAAGCCCGGCTGCTTCACTGATCAGCTGGTTGGCTTTGAACAAGTAATTCCACCAGTCAAATCCCTTAAAATAGGAACTTCCATTACAGTCTTTCTTCACTGTCATAGAAAAATATACATACTTTTTACCACCATTGTTGAGTGGGAATTCAGTTAACATCAGCTATTGTTTAGTGAGAACCAAAGAATATCTTTATTTATAAACATGCGTGGCTTGGGTTTCTTTAAAAGTATACTTCAGTCAACTGATGTGATCGTTTTCTCTCTGCAAATTTCTGTGCTCATTTTTGCCTTTTTAGGAGGACACTTTGTAAACCAGAAATTCACAAACCCCATATTTTTTGTTAGAAATTCATGAGATCTGGCAATGTTAATTAGAAAAAACAAAAAAGAACACTTGCCTCCTGCTACAAACTGTATCTCAGGCTTTGTGTCACAGTGAGCAGAATCTCCCCTTTAAAGGAAAGAAAAGTGGACTATGGGAAGAAATTGGAGTTCTGGGAATGGGTAAAGAAAGAAGAGGAGTAATCCATTAGGAAGAGCTGGAAGCCAAGTTCCTACTAGCAGTGTCGGGTGCAGTGAAGGGACCCTGAAAATGGGTGCATGGTGGGGTGAGGAGAAGACCTGGTGGCATAAAGCCCAGTCTCACCAGGAACCCTGAGGTTGCCTCACAGGGCTGACCTCATCCAGCCAGGAGATGTGACAAGGGGTTGGCCGGCTTCGCTCATGAGCTTTCTCAGATGAATCTTCTCTTCTCTTGTAGCCTGTGGCAATAAGGTGGACCCTGTCTACGAGACCCTCCGCTTTGGCACCTCCCTGGCCCAGAGGATGAAGAAGGGCAGTTCGGGCAGTGGCTCTGAATCACCCCACAGAACCTCTGTAATTGTCTCCCTCCCTTGCGCTTGCCTTTGGTGGTCTCTGGCAGGGCTGGTCACAGGGTGGGGGGTTCCCCCGCACCATCTCATAAGGATGGGTCTCTAGGGAGCCAGAAAACCTCTCGAGGGAAACCCACACGCTCTGGGACACTAAGGGTTAACTTTCTGTGGCTGACATCCAGGCATCATATTCCTTTCCTGATCAAAGACTTTGTCTGGGCCTCAAACTCCTAGACTCTTTCCTAGATCTCCTGTTCTTTACCCTCCCACCAATATTAGATAGCCCATGAGTCAACACAAAGAAATGGAGAGAAGAAGGGGACGACATGGAAGTGTCTAGTTCTCCTTGTGGCTACACCCCAGTGCAAGGCTCCCAGTAGTCATAGCATATTCTTGGTCCTTTCTCTCTAAGACAGGTGCATCCCTTATTTTCATGCAGGAACTAGCACCACCAGAGAAATTGACCTCTGACTCAGTCATCCATCCCAATGGGACACTGCACTTCCCAAATGCCTCTCCTACATTTTATTTCATCTGAGCTGCATCCCTGGGATCTGATTATAAAACAGAATGTCTATTAACTCACCAAGATGTTGAGCAATTCTGCAACCAGTGCTCAAAGTCATCCTCCCTGTGCATGAAGAAAGAACCTTCCAGGGCACATGACCACTCAAGCTAGCTTTTTCAGCCTTACGCATTCCACTGCCAAAGACCTTGGAGACTCCCAGACAGGACTCAGATGAGCCTGTCCATACTCTGACCCACTAGCGCTCTCAAAGTCCAAGATGAGAACACATAGATCATTGGATGAATGTTGGAACAGACACCTGGGAAGGGCTCTCAGGGGTTGAGCCAAGGCAGCTCCTTCATCCATAGGATAACCTGAGATTGTAGGTAGGACAATAGCTTTGTAAATGCTCTGACTGATGCCACAATGTGAATCTGGAAACTGTCTTCAAATATTGTATTCTTGGAGTCTACTACTTTCTCCTTTCTTCAGAAAGGCAGAGTTACAGAAAAAGAGGCAGACCGAGAGAGACTTTTCCATTTTTTGGTTCACTCCCCAAATAACCACAATGGTCATGGGTGAGCCAGGTCAAACCCAGGAGCCATGAACTTCATCCAGATCTCCATGTGGATGCCGGAGCCCAAGTACTTAGAACCTGTTTTGCTGCTTCCCCACACACATTAGCAGGGAGCTGGGTCAGAAGTGGAGCATCCAGAATGCCCGCATTCCAAGTGGCAGCTTAATTCACAACTCCACAATGCCACCCCCTTCCACTGGTTTCCTAGAGGGGAAAACTGAAAATAACTTTGATTCTTTTTCCTAAGATTCATGCCAATTAGTTTTTCCTTCTATCCTGAAAATCTGAGAAGCCCGCATTTCACCACTACTGTCCAGGACAACAAAAGCAGAAGACATAACTCTAAATTCACAGTTTATGTCTAAAGACAAAATCAAGAGAGAAAAGGATAGATGCTGATGGCGATGTTTAACATTTTTAAAGAATACACTTTCATCTGCTGTATCCTGTATTATTAAGAATAAGAACATAGCATATATGGATTACTTATATAATAACCATAGTATAAGGGGGATGAAGAATTTCATGGTAAAAATGGAAATTTAGCTTCCTTCAGTAGACATGACCTCACAATAGCGAGAACATACTCTTTGACATTTTAAAAATACTTGAATCTTGGTGATTTCCAGAGAAAATGACATTATCATTTGGCAGTCCAGATGATAATGATCATTTAAATTCATTTCCTGAAAATAAAGGATAGAAATGATGCTAAATGTGATAAAAACAGGCAAAGGGCATATGGATAGGATTAATTTTGTATGCAAATATACAAAATACTTCAAGAATTTGTGGAAAATAGAATTAAAACTTAAGATTATTTTAGTGAAAAAAGTTTTTGAAATCTAACCATGGATAGGCTCTTCAAAGAGAAAAACTAGGCATGGATTTCAAAACCAAGCTAGGAGCAAGGTAACTATGTACCACAACTCATTTGTCTTATTATGCCAGAGCCAGCAGGTTACCTGGCACATAGAGAACACCCAAGAAGTGCTGGAAGAATGAGGAAGAATTACCAGGGGCCTCTAAAAGACCAACTTCAAAACTCACAAACATCCAGTGCTGTAGTTATCATGCCCTAAGCTCCAGGCATCGCTCCTGCCATTCTCTCTGCGGGCATTCTCTGGCCACATTTTGTCTCCACCTCCCTACAGATACCACCTCCCTGAGTTGCTTAGGTAAATAGAAGTCACAGCAAACAGCTTTTTTACTGTGAGTTAGAGACTGTCTGAGGATTTTCACTTTTTTTGTGTCATATTCTCTCTCACTTCCTCAGCCTCTCTTCAGCATCTTTTGATTTCCATTGCCTTATCTCAGTGATGCATTCTCACACTCAGGGGGGTATCAGAACTCACTGCAGAACTTTGCAACAATACCGAGGCCCAGGTTCTGCCTTTCTTCATCTTGTCTAGGCTTCCAGGGCCTCTACTAGCCCATAAGCTGAACAGTTCTAGACCTATTCAGTGCTGGTCCATTGTAGATAGTCACCAAATACTCAGGGAACTAATTAAAGAAAAGCATTGTCAGTCAAACATGTGACTGCCTAAGAAAGACCTCCAGCTGCGGTAGTCTTGGTGAGTAACCTACCGGGCCAGCAACATCTGCATTATCTGGGAAATTGTTAGATATGCAAATTCAGGTTTCCCCCTCAGATCTACAGAATCAAAATGTCTGAGTTGGGGGAGTCAGATGGTCCGGTCCCTATGTTAACAAAGCCTCCAGGTAATTCTGCCATGCATTAAAGCTTAATAATGACAGTTGAATTAAAAAGTTATCATCTGCTTCCAACGCAATCAGCCCCCGCCAACCCTTCCCTTTCTTTCTTCATTGTCCCTTCAATCCCACTCCATGAGAACAGTATTTGGTCCACACTTTCACAGTGGCACCAGCAAGTGAAGTCTGACATTTGGGGCAGAGATTAAAGAATGCGAACCCTCTACCTAACCACCCATGATTTCGGGGGGGGGGGGGGGTTGAGGTAATGAAAAGGGACATTCCTGCCAGAGTCGCTTCTCCCAAAGCCACGAAGAGCTGCCTCTGGCTGCAACCCTTACTAATCAAGATTTTTGTAAATACTATCCAGCCATCCAAGAGAAAAACATGTATAGAACTGTCCAAAGCATAGACCTGGGTCTACTGTGACCTGCATGTTACACAGCCCTGCATTTCTCCTGTCTCTGGTGAGAGCAAACGCTGTCTCATCCCACCGGAGCCAGGCATCTCCATGCTTGTCTAAGGCTAGCGTTGGTGGAAGGGCAGAGATGGTCTGCCTTGATCTAGCCACGTTCGCTGCAGGTGGCCGCTTCTATGGTTCTGAACTTTGAGGAGCTCACAACAAGGACACATCCTCAGAAACACACGGCAGAGTGGGCAAGGCCTGGGTCAGTCTCCCAAGTTGCTAAGATGCTAAGATGCAGAAAGACCATCAGAGAGATCATGAGGATATTCAGTTTGCTTTCATTCCCGATTCACACCTAACAACATCTGGAAACAATACACTGGTTTTAGGGGCAAAATGCAGGATTTCTGAATGTCAGTAGGGAGTTCATTCGTCAGTGTCTGGTTGAGGCTGCCTGGCTCCATGAGTAAATATTTGTTGGTGTTTGCTTTGTAAGGGCATTATTCTGAGAGCTGCAGGGAGATAAAAATAAAACAAATTCCATTTAAATACCTGTCACTTCACTCTTGTCTTGACATCCAACTTGCTTCAGTGGAAAAAAACAGAAGCAAGGGATGGATTCTTTAAATGATTTTTGCTTTCTTCCTTCAGGGTCAAATGATAATGAAGTTCGGTCATTGGACTAGTAGTGTGATGTCCTTAAGCTAAGATTTCCACAGAGGAAAGCTGTGTGCTGTAGGTTTATATCTTCCTGGATGCAGAGGCGTTTTATTTTTCTTTTGCATGGTCATGAAGTTGATGCCTGGCAGTTTCCAAACGGTCTCTTTAATATGCTTTCAAATGTTCTTGAACATAAACAGTTTGATGGCTTTGGGAAGGTTAACAGAAAGCATATGCAAAAATATCATTTTAAGAGTTAGTTGGCTGGTTTATGAGTGACTTTCCATTTCACATGCCAGCATGAACAGGATGAAATTCTGCAAGAAACACCTGTACAGGGATCTTGAGCTTCCAAGGAGCAGGGTGCAAGTGACTTAGAGACCTTTGGGAGTTTATTTTGTTCTGATTTCTGATACATTGAGAAGGTGAGAGAGGCTGGAAAAATGTTAAAACTGAATTAAAGAAAGGAAAAGCCACCCTCTGGAGCACGGTGGTCTAGAGCTAACTAGGAGAGCGGGGGAGGAAGGACAATCTCCTTCCTCTCAAATCAAATAGAAATTATGCTTCTTAAATGCAACTCTTCTTAAAAACTCCCTAATTCTTCCTTTGAAGACAAGAGCCGGGCTAACAGAAACCAGGGCATGTGGCTGGCACATGTTGACCCACTGAGCATGGAGCGGTGGTACAACCTCAGTGGTAGTGTTTGCCAATTCCTGTGGTGTAAATCCTCCTGCCAGAACCAAGTTAATGCTACTAATGTAGTGGCCATGAAAGCTCTTACTAACTTGTGGGGCTGCTCCAGCACACCCTGAAGGAAGGGCACAAGGTCTGGAGACTCTGCCTGGGGCTTACACCAATTACAGCTGCTATGGGGCACCAGCTAAAGTTACTGATCTCTCTCAGGGTTTCTGATTCTTGCCTGGAAAATGGGTCTGCCATAAAATTATTATAATACCTGAGATTAAAGCCAAGCACATGATAAACAATCAGGAATCATAGCAATTCAAAGTATCATTATTCTTACCATGATTTCTGTAACTTAAGTGGCAGGATGAGGATGGCTTATTTAAGATAGTGGAGTATGTATTCCACTGTAATTGATTGATTTTTGCAGTAGTGGAGATAGTCTTTACCTTGAACCCATGTCATCCATCCCACACCGGTGCTCTTTTTCTCTGTCATTATGATTTTAAATTCTCTACGATCTGTAGTATTATTGGAAATTTCAAGTAAAAAGATATGGGAAAGCTTTCTGATTTCTCTCTGTTTTCTGCTCCTGAGAAGAGGCTTACTACGGCCTGGCATCTATGTGGTCACCATTGCTCACCAGGCACCTTCCACAGTCAGGTCTGAGTCTGTCACCAACCCCTGGGGAAGCGGAGTTCTCAGGAGGACACACACAGCCTCAAGGACACGAGCTAAACAGACAACACTGTAGCGGTGGGATTCTTAAGAGAAAGGTGGATTCCCTCTGAGGTCTTTTCCTGGCGTGAAAATCCCTGTTCACTGACGCACTACTCTTTGCTCATTGCCTGCCGTTTCCCTTTTCCTCCCAGACTTCTGACCTCGTGGAGGTTCCTGAAGAGGCTGACGGGCCAGCGTGCGGGTACGACCTGAGACAACGCAGCAACAGTGGTGAGTAGGGAGCTGCCCAAGAGACGTGAGCATCACCTAAGTCAGGGTCGGCAGGCAGGTAAGGTGGTTTTGCAAGCCCTTCTTTCTGCCGGTCTGCCTGCCTTGGAATTTCACCCAGGCAGTGTTCAACATTCTGGAGGTAAACTGGGAGTGCTTTCTGGTCATTCTGATGATTTAACTCTCCCTGAGTTCGGTCTCCCGACTTCCCATACCTATGGGCTTGGCTCTATCGGGGTTTAGGAGTCACTCTCAGCTCTTGTGTGAATGCATGATGTCCTCCATTGGTGCAGATCCGAGGAGTAACCCATGCCACAGAGAAGCAATTTCATGCTAAAGCTAAGGCCCCTGAAACAAGTGGAGGAGACTGTGGGCCTCCCACTCTCTACTTCCTCCCTAGCAGAGACACCTACACTTATCCACAACGGGTGTGTACAAGCCAGCCATACATCCATAATAGCAACATCTAATCTCTTCACGAATTAAGGCACATAATGCTGCAATGATTGCTAAAAGATTTATTAAGCGCTGGTCCCCTCCTATTGCTTGTGAGCGTTAAGAAGTGTATATCTGTTTGTATTTGAAAGGATGATTTTACGTTGAGAGAAAGAGAAACAGAGAAAGGGTCTTCCATTCCCTGATTCATTCCCCTCAAATAACTACAATGTCCAGGTTGAGCTGACCCAAAGCGGGGTGCCAGGAGCTTCTTCCATGTCTCCCACGTGGGTGCAGGGTCCCTAAGACTTGAGCCATCCTCACATTGGTTTCCCAGGCTATAAGCAGAGAGTTGGATTAGAAGTGGAGTAGCTGCGATACAAACAAGTGACCACATAGGATGCCAGTGCTGTGGGATGGATGATTATCCTGCTGTGCCATCACATTGGCCCCAAGAAAGAACCAACTCGAAAACCAGAGCTTAATAACATACAACCAGGCCCCTATGGATACTTTCTCCTTGAGTCTTTTTTCTTTTTTTTAACCTCAATGACAGCTTAATCTTCATCCATTTATCGGAAATCATTTGTGAAATACCTACTGTTGCCGGCCAAAGCACATGAACCATAAAACCTGAGCTCAGGTTATTTACAAGCTGGAAAGCCTGCAGGTCCTGATCTCCATTGTTATGTTGGTTGCCAGAAATGAGCCCTACAGGCCCCCATGCCCACATGCCAAGCATGGAGATATGCCGCTGTCCCCTCACTTTTCACCCCTGCTCTTTCCGGCCTGGAAGCTATGCATTTCATACCATGCATTGTCAGCATTTGCCTTTAACAAGGTATGGCTTTTGTGTCCTTCACCCAGGGAATTTGCTTATGTGTCCTCTCTAGTTGGTCTGTGGCAATTCCCACAAGACATCCTGTGCTTAGCTGCTCTCCCTGTCTTGCCTTCTTAAATAAGCATCAGTATTTACCATGCCCCAGTCCTGCCCCGGCGCCAAGCCTACACACATCTGCTAAAGCTCACTGCTCAGGGAAGGATTTTTTGGCATCGCATGGGGGAAACTGTACTTTTAGATCAATGCAAACATTTGTTGAGCACTTTGCAGTGCCATTAGAGAGACAAATGAGAGAGTGTCAGCTGCCAGAGGATCCTCCCAGCAGGCAGTAACACAGCAGGGTTGCTGTTCCAGCCCATGTAGTCTGATGTTTCAGTTCTGGCAGCTGGATTTGGCCAGCAACTGGAGTCCTTCAACACCTGTGGAACTCAGACGCTGGAGATTCTTTTGTCAACCAGATTTGCATGTTGCAACTTCTCATCAGACCACCTGCTCATTCCCAAGCCTGACTTCTGCTCTCAGTCTCTCCACCAACACTCCTCCCTCCAGCAACCCTGCTGGCCCCCTCATCACCAGCATCCCTGGAAGTCGATTATCTGACTTTGCTTAGTGATGACATAGCTTTGAAGAAGTGACCTAGCCTCATCTCTATCACCTCAACTCCAAAGTGAAGATAATCTAAAAAGGCCTACACAACCTCTGTGATCATGAATGGCATATTGAATATAAGCACCATCCACACATGGATGACTCCCAAACGTCATCTCCAATGATAGGATTCCCGACTTCCTCCACATGCCGACAGCCTCCTGGACACGGCCCTCTGGATGCAGAGGAACAAACCTCAACTGAGCTCTCATGCTTCTCAGCCCTCCTCCCACACCCACATCGGCTATCTCTGCTCAGTAGATAAGAACTCCATTTAACTGGTTGATTGTCCCAAAGTCCACCCTGACTTCCTATTCTTCATATACCTGGTGTTCAGTCTGGCAGCAGCTGCCACCTGCTTCCTCTCAAAACTACACTGAGCAGGTGCCCACCACTTAGACCTCCTGGCTGAGTTGTTCTGATGGAGTGGTTAAGGCTGCCATTGGCCTTGGGATTTCTCCTCTCCAAGGATGGATTCCATAGATTTTATCGTGTCGAGAGTTACACCTAGGGATCACTGCTATGAAGCACAGGGTCGTAGAGCATCAGTGATACAGCATAGGACCTCTATTCCAGGTATGGCTCCTGGACCAACAAATGAGCAGCACCTGAAGGCTTTCCCAGAACTGCTGAATCAGAACTCAGACATGAATTCTTAAAGCGTCATAAATAAGCCATTGTTTCTGATTTCCTTCCCTCTAATGCAAACACACACATACACACATATTCATCCATACCAAATAGATACGGAAAATAGCCCTCAGAGTGACACGTGCAAAGTCCAAATTTCTTATATGTTAAGGGATGTTTTCAGAGCCTTATTCAAAGAGATATCTTGAAAGACCTTAGCTGGCCATAAATCTCCCCCAAAAGCTTTGGAGACCCATTAGCAATTCCTTTGATTAGCAATAACTTTCTTTACAAAAACACCCTTAGAAGCAAGGGGGATTAATTATGAAGCAGTTTGCTTCAAAACATTTTCCTTTGATTCTTTTTAATCCCATGTCCATGTAATTTGAGAAGCAAATGGAGAAAACACCCACCTCTTTGGTCCAACTTCCCATGGGTCTGCCCAGTCACAGGAAGGAGGGTGCTGGCTTTCCAGAAGCAGCATTGGGGGGATGCTGTTCAATCAGTTCATCATTACATGTTTCATTTGTGTCACACACACACACACACACACACACACACACACACTATACACAGGTGCTGTATCTCCCAGCCAGGGGTTATGCCAAATTCCTTGTGGAATATCTCCAAGCCTTCTGTGAAGAGAACATCATTCTCACCCTTGACCTCTAAGGACACTCTTTCTGCTTTCCTTCTTCTGAATGACCTCAAGCAGGTCTTAGTATTACCAGCGGTTTTCAACACCATGCCTGAACACATCATAAACATAGATGGGAGAGGTTATTAGCCCTCCCCTTTGGTGTAACTGCTAGAAACTTTCCCGATAGCAAAGTAATGAACAGAAGGGCAAGTCATTTCTGGCTGCCCCTTGCAGCCCAAATTGCCAAATAATAATTTTACCGGCTGCCCTCAATAATTGCATTTCAGTATGACTGCATGTGATCCTAATTTTCCTGGAAGAAAATCAAAGAGTACAGGACACAAGCAATACAAATTCCTAGAAATGTTCTTCCAAATGGATTGGGTTAATCATATGCACTTAAGGATATTATGAAACCCCAAATTACCTCACTCTCCACTGAAGTGAAGAAATTTTTTTCCCAGAAAAAAAAATGACAAGCTCAGATTTGGAAAACAGAGCGGCATTGTCTTTCGTAGACACTGATTCTTGTCTCGAGTGTTCATCTGCCTCTCTCTCTCTCTCTCTCTCTCTCTCTCTCTCTCACACACACACACACACACACACACACACACACAGGTGTTCTAATGATTCCACTGGCCACTGCCCTGGTTCTTGTCCCCCTCCAGTGGACAGTTCCTAAATTACAGATTTAAGTGCTCCTAACGTATTTCTGCAAAGACATAGCATCCAGAGGAAGTAAAGATGTCTTCACAGTTCCTTTCCAACACTGTAGAAAGCAGAATATTCATAGAAGGATTTCCCAGTTTGATTTCCTGAAACTACCATGAAAAAGAAAAAGCCAAAAAGAAATTTCTAGTAAATTCATGGCACAGCTGGCAGTAAAATATGGCCATTGCTTCAAGTCTAGAAATGGCAATAAAGCATAAATCCAAAGACACGGGCAGCTAACGGAAATATTTGTTTGACGTTTCCCCAGTGGTACAGCTTGGGTAATAATAAACCTCATGGATGAGTGACAAAGAACATAAAACTTGTTGGAGTGTGCAGGTAAAAGATTAAATAAGAAACATTTTGGGGAAATGCTATTATCCTAAAAACCTTCATCAGATCCCAAGACAAGAGAGTATCTTGCCTCGAAATACAATGTGTTAGCCTTGACATATCAATAAAGAAGTAAAAAAAAAAAGAAAAAAAAGAAAGAAAGAGTAGGGGAGAAAAAAAAGGAGGAGAGTCAGACAGAAGAAACACAAAGAAAGGGAAGAGAAACTAGGCTTGTGGGAGGGACGGAGGGATGGAGGGAGGGAGGGACAGAGGGAGGGAGGGACAATGGAAGAAAGAAGGAGATGAGGGGGAGGAGGGAACTCTTTTTTGTACTTAGAGCCTGAGTTTATTCTACCTATATGGGAAAAGCGAAATTAAATGAAATTTCCATTTTGTTTCAAGTATCCCAAGTGTGAAAAGATGACAGACATCCTTCAGGAGTAAATTTAAATTCTCTATAATGACAGACATAAGACATCAAAAGCTTTTCAAGAATAAAGTTTTGACAATCATGAGATAACAATCAAAAATGCATCAAACACATCAGAACTTGAGCCATATTGAATGAATGATAGAAAAACAATACATTTTATTATCAGTTTAAGAGATTTTTGTATGCTGTAGCTATTAAATAAACATATGTTAGACAGTTATATATGCTTAAAATACAAAAAAAGAACTAAGAAATACAACAAAGCAACAATATACTATCAAAATCAAGCATGAAAATTTGGATAAAAGGCACATTAAGTATAGAGTTTTTAA